GGATCGAACCCGGGTCGATCGCGTCAAAAAGCCAAGGGCACTCGCTTATCCATCTGCACCACTGGAGCTGATGATTTATAGCCACTTTTCACTAAATGTAAATAGACACCCCGTATGTTTTATTCCATAGTAAGGGCAATTCATACAATACATTTAAACTGAGCTACTTTAATACCATCTCCGAACTTTCTACCACGACTCTGCTGTTCTTCGGCTGGTTCTTTCCTGTATACGTTGATTGACAGATGTCTCGTCCAGTCAGCGGTGAGTAATCCCAAACCAATGGCGCTGTCTCAAACTATACCTACCTCTTCCGGTTTGTCTGATTTGTCGTTGTGTTTTCTGACTTGTTAATTTGGTTTTGGATTTGTCGTTGCGTTTTCTGACTTGTTATTTTGTTTTCGAATTTGTCATTGTGTTTTCTGACTTGTTATAATGTTTTCTGAATTGTTATTTTGTTTTTTAGACTTGCATTTGCGTTTGTAATTTGTTATTTTGTTTTCAGAATTGTGATTTGCTCTGCTCTTCTCGGCCACCGTACATAACCGGTGTTGTGGCTTAACCGTCACCGTATCACCGTCAACACCGTCTATTGCGGCAAGCCTACTGAGTGGGGCTAAAAGAGTGTTCGGTTATTTCCCCGGAATAGATGAACGTAAATATGTGATGTTGGTTTTGTACGTGTCACCGCAGTTCTGACTTGAAATGTCCATTGAGTGGGGCTATAACTCTAATGCTACGTGACGTAAAATATCGTACCATCTGCACTACACCTAAACCTACCCGATAGCATGAATAAAAGTGAATGTGACGTAAAAACACAAATGCAAGTATGCTGTTTTAGCTTGTTTTTCAATCTCTCATCTTTCAGCTCTTTCATCACGAGTCATGTTTTTGATAGGATTCATACCCATGGATTCAGCATCCTCAGTCCAATTCCATGCCAGCTTGAGCTACCGAGCAAGCTTATTACGTCCGGAAAGAGAAACATATGGAGCTGTAATCATTACAGTGTAGGAAAACGATTACAAGTGCTCACTGTTTTAACGCCTCTAGTGTTCATTTCTGTTGGAAACTGCAGTGATATGGACTTATTGGTATGTATTTCACACCTTGCGAAAAAGTTCCCACAGGTACATTTTCGTCATGAGATCAGGTGGTAAACTTGTGTGTATTTGTCAGATTAAGACATGAAAGAGAACTTAGTTCAGTACTCACATGCCGTGTGACAGCCGCTTTCTGTGCGTGCTTTGGATGTGCGTGCTCAGAAAACTATATCAGAAGTTTAAACTAATATGGTTTAAAATGCATGATTTCAGCACGGAGCAGCAGCTTATTTGCATTTGAAGAGACATGCACGAAAATAGCGTTTCTGCTTCCACTCAAAATAGGCATTTTTAAAATGATATAATAAATGATCTGTGGGGTATTTTGAGCTGAAACTTCACAGACACACTCTGGGGACTCCTGAGACTTATATTACATATTGTAAAAGGGGGCATAATTGGTCTCCTTTAATGTTTTATTAAAACTCATGTAATTTCAACTTGGCGAAACACATTGGTGACCTGAACCATAATAAAAACACTTTTTATAATAAACTAGTATTATTATATACAGTATGAGTGTACACCATTTAGATGACTCTTCACAAAAAAAAAAAAAAAAAAAGTATTTCTTAATAATTGTACTTTTTTAAATTAGCACCAAACTGAATGAATAACTACATGTTATGTAACTACAGTATGTTATGTAAAGGTAATTGGTGGTAAGTTGCCAATTTTATTTTTTTTTTATGTCGTACAAATCCCTTGAAAGTTCCCTGTGTGAGTTTTCATTAGTGAAGATTTGATTCATCTGTCAAGATCATTTTTACACATAGCAGGCTGGCCCCAATGAACAATAGCATTTGGCATTTTTCTACTGGGGCCTTTCCTTAAGTGTACAACCACATCTCTTTTGATGTCTGTTACTTTCTCATTTCCTCTGTTTTTAGGTTCCAAGTTCCTTCGCCTGACTGAACCTCAGTAATTTTGATTTTGAATGTGTGTGTGTCTTTTGTCCTTCTTGCAGTTCCAAGGGTTTGACCTCTGACCACACCATGGTGGGCAAAATCTTGGAAGCAACAGCTCTGCATTATGGGACTAGGTAGAAGAAGTGAAGACAAAATATGTGAGACTGGCCTTAAGGGATTGCGAAACACCTGTGTCCATCATTTCTCAATATTGCTAGAACAATGAGTCAGTTGACAATTTGGTGAAAACATTCAATTCTAAATTCTTTGCACTAAATTCTGACTAAGAATGATCTCCGCACATATTCTGCTAGAGGAAGACTCATTATTTACCCGGCTGTCAGTTGTATAAGCGACTATGAGTGAGAAAGACCTTGGGACTTCAACAGACACCACCTAGAATCAAGCAAAGAGGCTGTCCCAGTTTGTTAGGTGTTGTGGGAAACAGGGTAAAATCTCCCTTTACAGCCTGGCCCTCCAGGACTGGTGTCATTGCTAATGTAATGTTTGTCATGGCAAGTGTGACTACTGCGGAGGAGTCGGCAAGCGACTGTACCACACCAGAAGTAAATCCACTGCCATTTGAACCCTCTACAACCTCCTCAAATGACCCTAGTCATGGACATGACAGCACTTCCTGCCCTCCAGCAGTACCTCCACCACCGCCTCCACCTCCTCCACCACCACCTCAGGCTCCAGGCCATCCTCATGCTTCACGCAAGAAACGACGGGTAAGGAGCTTCTTCTGGAAAACTATTCCTGAAGAGAAGGTTCGGGGAAAACCGAATATTTGGACTCTAGCAGTGAGACAGCAACAGTATCAAATTGACGTGAGGACAGTGGAGGAGCTCTTCGGCCAGCAAGAGGAGGTTCGAACCCAGGCAAGCAGTGGACATCCTCGTGCTGGAAGATCCAGAGGTTCATTTAAAGAGAGCAAGGATGAGGTAAGTCAAACTGAGTAGAACTGAATCATCGCTTGGGATATCTGCAGTTAATGCTTGTAAGTCAGTGTAATTTATTTTGTCTCTACATGGTAGATGAATTTTTGCACTCCTAACAGGCTTGAGACTACCTATTTCAGTTAAAATAGATTTTTAAAAATGACTAAAAAGCACAACTTGTGTTAGGATTGCCCATGACTGAATTCTAGCCAATACTGCCAGATATTAGGGATGAACCAATGTGAAAAGATAAGTCAATACCGATAACCAATAATTAATGAATATCATATTAATCAATAAAATAATAAATGATTGCTTATATGTCGATATTGGCCAATATTAGATATAAATATAAATTTAGGCAATCAAATAACAGATCATATACAGTGGAGTACAATGGCAGAAAAAAATCATATCCCACAATCATGTAGCAAATGTTGTCCTAGGCCCTAGACCATTGGCTTAAAGAATGATACATGCCTATGGACAATTTGCTTTTATAAAAGCACAATGATAAATATAACTTTCTCAGATATAGCAAAAAAATATATAATAAATAAATAAATAAAAAAGTATGGATGACTGGGATGATTGATTGATTTAAAAAATGGATGATTAAAAAAGCAAGCTGTAAGTGCAAGCTAACAGAAACTTTATATTGCTGAACTATTTGCGTTGTTTATAATTTAGCTAAGATTGCTTTTCTTTATGAGATCTATCTAGTCTACAAGTCACTTTACCAGATACTGTGGAACATCTTTAAATTCAACATGATTTTGTTAGTGTTTGTACTTAAAGTGTGGTTCTAGCACACATACATTTTTGTAAGTTTGCACAGACACTGAAACATTTATTTTTAATGTATTTAGAACATATTTAACAACATATAAAGAGTAAGCATTTTCTTTACAGTATGGGCAACTTTAGAAATCAACTGAAATCAATATAAAATAATCTTTTTAAGTTCATACAATAATTCATGGAATGCATAGGATGATTTTATTGTGTTTAATCTATAATTAAATGTGTTCAGTTGCATAAAATTTCAATTTCTACAACAGTTTATAACAGTATTATATTTTTGCAAAGAAACCTTTAGGTTCAACATAGGTGTGAGTTAGTGCTTAAAATATATATAACAATACAATGTTATAATATAAAGAATTAATAAAGTTTTTTTTACATTTTAAAAGCTGTGCATACATACTGTAAAATCTTTTATATTTTAGTTGCTGTAAATATGTCCAAATTGTCAGTTTCAGTTTAAATCCAGTGTGAACATTATGTATAAATCCCTATCAAACAAAGGGTTTTATTTCATAAAACTGTTATTTGCATATATTGTATGCTAACATGTATGCTAACAATTGCCTATAATGTACAATGCATGTACCTATCACGTATGAAGCATTTTCTATCATGTACGAAGCATCTTTTTCTCTAGCTTATAAAAAGGATTATTAGGTGTGTGCAACTCGGTTTTCCACCTCTACATAAAGCAAACATGTCCCTGTTATCCAAAACATATGCTCCCGTGAGCTCGTCATTTTGTGTCTAAGCGACCAGCTGTGTTTTTGTGTGGTTGCTGCTGGTCTGAGTAGCTTTGTAATTATCCACGAAGGCACCAAGAGTACCTGTGCAGATCTAATGAAGCTTTGTATTGTTTGTCTGAGGTGGCATGGACCATGCATGTGGTCTCGTTTGTAATTTCAGACACCGCCCAGCTACTCCTTTGAGTTTGTGAAGCGTCACAAGTGTCATTTAAATGTGTGTGCTAGAGAGAGAGTGTGTTTAGTTGCCACTAAAATGGCTATGTCAAGTTAGTTAGTTAATCTCACTACCAAGGGTTTCCTGGTGCTGATGTTAATGAGAAAAACAAGTATAGCATTGTGTTCTTTAAATGGATAGTTCACCCAAAAATTACAATTCTGTCATCAATTTCTCACCTTCAGGTTGTTTCAAATCCATAAGATTTTCTTTCATTTTACAAACACAAATGAAGATAGTTTTAATGAAACTTGAGAGATTTCTATCCATTCCTGGAAAGTCCATTGCTCCAAAACTCTGATGCTTCAAAAAGTTCATAAAGACATTGTTAAAGTAATCCATATGAATGTAGAAGTTTAATCCAAGTCTTCTGAAGAAACAGTTGTTTTATATGATGAACCAAAATAATCTAGGCTAGGGTATTTCACAGTAATGATTGGTCTAAACATTCTTAGACATTACTTTTATATCGTGTAAACAATTACTTTTATGTATTGTTTATAGTATTGAACATAAAATGTGGGCGTTTACATGTCGCGCATCTCACGTGGAGATTTGTAATATCAATAGCGCAAGCAGCACGTGGGTGTGATCTAATTAGAGATAATGAGAACAGACGGGAAAAACTGGACCTGTCGTTGGTTTCATACGGATTACTTTATCACAGAATATTTGTTTTCGGTAAGAGTTACTTCATTTAAGAATAGACGTGAAGCTTTCTATAGATATATTTCTCATGTCTGTATGTAAAGTATTGGCTGAGTTTCAGTTCATTTTAGTGACGCGTTTCTAAAAGCAGTTCGCGGAGACAGTGAGGACTGAGAGCGCACCCTGTTTATTTTCTTTATTTTTCAAAAGCACATTGTTTTGTTGTTATTATGACTATACACAAATAAAAGTAGACCCTTTGCAGTTTAAAACAATACCTTATTCTTATCTGTACGGTCAAAATTGACGGAGTATTTTTAGTTCTTTTCGCGGTCATCAAGAAAATATGAGACAGACTGCACCGGTGCGGGCTTCGACCCCAGGGGGTTAATTCACAGATAAACATTGCACAAACATGCTTGCTTGACACGTGAGAACCAGTAAAGTTTGTCCTTCAATGTCAAGCAAGTACGCATGGGTATAGGGGGTGGGGGGACATAAAATTTCTCTAGATCAGTTTTTAAAGGGGACACAAATAATACAGCCAAAATTGTACAATGGGGACTACTTATTTGGCATTTTGGTGCACTGAAAAAATGATCTTATGTTCGTTCTTCTTTTCAGAATCAGAATCAGAATGAGCTTTATTGCTGTCATGTGTATGTTCACGTTGAGTTCCTGTTTTCCTTATTTGGTCCTTCCAGTTCCTTTTCACATTATTAGTATCACCTGTTCCTTGTTATTAGTTATCCCCATCACCTGTCTGCCCCTCGTTATCTACCCTATTTAGTTCTAGCCCGTTCAGTTCTCCCTTGTCTGGAATTGTATGTTGATGTCTTCTCCTTGTGCTACGTGTGATCCCCTGTGACAAGAATAAATCCCTTTGTTTCGTACTCCTGGTCTCCTCGTTCCTCGTTCCGCGCTCCTCACACTACCACCAACCGTGGCAGAATTCCAGACCTAAAAGTGACAATAAGCGGCACCCCTTCTACCTGTGTTTGTTTTTCGTTTTTTGAAAAGTGTTTTTGTTTTGTTTTCCCGTTCGTTTCTCCCCGTCCAAATGGAGGAACGAGCGATGTTAATCGCCGTGGCTCAGGCAAACCCCGACCCGATTCTCTACACGAGGGCGTTCGTGCCGCTCGCCCTCACCAGCTCCATCGAGGGAGAAACCCTCCTGACGCTGTTCCGGATCAGGATAACCTACCATCGTCCCGCGGAGCTCCCAGACACCACCAACCTCAGCTGGAAGGAGGGAGTCATCCGGTGTCTGGAGAGCTTCCGATCCCGATCCGGGACCCATCTGCCGGCCGTTCCCGAGTCAAGTAAGCCGGCCGTTCCTCAGGCAAGCCCGCCGGATGTTAATGTGGCAAGCCCGTCAGACGTTAATGTGGCAAGCCCGCCAGACAATAATATGGCAAGCCCATTGAACATTAATATGGCAAGCCCGCCATCCATTCATGTGGGCCCAGTGTCGGTTCCAGCCCCAGTGCCCGCTCTTCGTAAGTGCCTTCCAGAGCGCACCCAGGTGACGGCTCCTCGAAAGCGCTTTGCTGTGCCTGCTCCTCCAGAACACCCTCCAATGCCAGGACCACTTAAGCGCTATCCTGATCCCGAGTTAAGCCCAGGAAGGGCTCCTGATCCCCGGTTCAGCCCAGGAAGGGCTCCTGATCCCCAGTTCAGCCCAGGAAGGGCTCCTGTTCCCGAGTATAGCCCACGGAGGGC